CTTGTTGAATGTGACTGCTTTAATCTTCTAGCTGTTTATAAACTTCAATGCGTCTTAATACTCTTGTGTTTGGTGCATTGACAGACTATAATACATACCAAAACTATCCTAGACTGTCATATTTAAAATAAGTTATTTTTTACCCATATTTAGGGTAGGGGCTCATAAATAGCCAATGCTCTATCAATTTTACTCCTTTTTGGAGTCCACAGTTGATGCTTGTGAAAAGCATATGGAATCTATTGTTACTTTAGCTTAGAAAATGTTGATTTCACTCATAAGCATTTCAGAATTTTATGGTGTTGGAAAATCACTTCTGTCCATCTAAGGACCTATTGTCTTTCATGTTATACACAATTTTTCAAAACTGTCTGGGAAAGTGCAACTGCATATTTTTCCCTGAAAATACATATTTAGCATGATTATCTGTTCACTTGGGCAGTGAAGCTCTCTGTTAATCAAATTTTGTATTTGTGCTGTTGCCTCTAGAGATGTATATTGATCAGAACCAGTCTTGCTGAGGCTTAGTGGTCTAATAGCAAGCATGTGTTTTGATCTACGCAACAATTTGTAAATTTCCAAGTGCAATTTTTGACCAGTAAGTATCAGTGTTCTTTTTATTTTCTGTTGGATATTCATTCAAGAAGTTGACAATTCTTGATGTTTTTTGTAGTAGGTCCCTGGCCTGAATATCATGGGTCATGTAAGGATTAGTAAAAATATTAGATACTTTTAAAGTTAAGCATCAGCTGTAGGTGCATCATATGCTGTGGTTTCCAAAAGTAACCCACTGTACTTTTTACTATCCTTTGATATTGACTGTGTTTATCAGGGCTAATGTCTCATGCACACAATGGTAGCACAAAAGTTCCATCAGTCAGCTAAAGTTCTTATCAAGCTTGCTTTTTATTTTTGTTTCATACTATGAAATGTTTTCTTAGGGTGTATGTGAATGACTTTTTCATAGATGTTTTATTTCTAAATATTGTTTAAATTTCATTTAGCTTGTCGATAGATATGTAACTGATTTATATGTTGAGATACTATTCAGCTCTGCATGATATTATATTATTTTGAATATGCTTTGTACTTGGTTTAGGCTTTTAGCAGACTGAAATGGAAGTTTATGTAGAAATCACAAAATGAATGTGTATTCCTGTTTTTAAAAATTTGCCTCTATTAGAAACCTTATTAGAAAGTAGACTAAGCTATTTGTAGCTTATAGAATTTTTAAAATCTTGCATCTGTAGAGACTAGATTACAAGAAATTAGTACTGACTTGCATGACATCACAGAAAACATTAAACATTTTGAACGGGTTTGGTGGTGGTTATATAAGCTATGTTCAGCACTTACGAGTCATGGTGGTCTATTAAGGGGTCATTAGTATCAAGAATTATTTACCAGTTGAATAGACTGATTATAAACTACAACCATGCACCTAAAAATCCTGTAGCTTTGCTTACTTGTGTGGTGTCTGTGTTATTGGTTGAATTAAATGATATGCATTTATCATGGTAGAGGGCAATATGCTAAACAGTTGGGCGTTATTCCCTTGAGGAGACTACCAGAAGTGACTTGAAACTTTGTACGTGACTTTAACTTAGTTGGGTATGATTTTTGATAGTGGAATTATTTCCCAAAATATGTATTACTTTTAAATCCATTATATTTGATATTTCAAGAATAAGTTATTATAGGTTTTTACAGAAAGCTTAAAATTGCCAAGTGCAGATGAATTGTTTTCATTTGTAATAACAGTCTTTGGCAGTGGCTGCATCAGTAGCTTGTACAGTGGCAGCCATCAATCAGTAGTTTAAATTATCACTATCACTGATATCTTATTATGTTTCTCATTGTTTTTACAGAAGAGGAATTATTCATATATAAGGTTATATATGGAATATAGATTTTATTAACCTCATTTTGTGTCAGGTTTTTTGGTGTTTTTTCTCAATAAATGTCTCATCATTAAGGTTGCTATTCTCACTGAGTCAATCAGCTCAGTAAATTGCTACATATTCTTGCCCCTCTGCCTTGGAAGTACCAGCTGATGATGTTATTTTCCAATGACATCTCCTGTCAAAATATTACCTCTCTCTGAATTGATGATTTAATTCTAATTTGCTTTTCTCTGAGTACACTGAATATAGTCTATAAGAATTCCATAAGTGAATCATAGGGCTGTGTGCACAGGTATGCAACACAGTGCTAAGAAGATATTCACCTGCATGACTCTGCCTTACTTGAAAGGTTAAAACAGTTGGGGTCTCACACAGGCTGGTGCTCTGAAGTTAATACTTTTCCTATATTATGTATTGCCAAAGTAAAATAGAGAATGGTGGAAATACCTAATATAGAAATGTATCTTCAGAGAACAGTGCGTTGTCCTTATTTAGAGAAGAGTTAATAGTCCTAATTTAGGTGACTTTTCCTTTGCAAGGAAAATGTCATAGGTTTTTGATGTTATAAACTTTTGGTATATTTTCATTGCAAATATGCAACATGAAACATTTATTATACATTACATCAACTTGCATGTAAATAACACAGATATGCTATATAAGCTTGTACTACACTGGTGAATATAGTACTTTGCCAGACACATAGATTATCAGTTTGAATTCTTTAAGGTCATGTGAAGTTCAGTAAACACTATGTTGTGAATTAGACCTATGGTAATTGCTACATTTTCATATACAAATGAGAAAAAATCTGCCATTTATCATTTCTGATTATGTACTGTACATGGTTTACAGAGTTGGTAATGACACTGCAGACTTTGGTTCATTTGTTTAACATAAAATACAATGACCAACTATTTTCCTCCGAGCCTTTACGCCTTATTATTACCCTAATGCTATGTCTTCTTGAGAAGTAGTTTTTTTCCTGCCTGCATTTTCATGAAATAGGAAATTTCAGATTTATTTTTTATTTTTTTGAATGAAAAAACACACAAACAAGACACACACACATCATATTGTTTTAAAACAGATTAAACTACTGATAAGTTTCTAAAATAGTGAAAAGGTCTTTGATTTCATGTTATTTTTTTCTGAACCTAGTTTATGGCAAATGGAACAGCAAGCTCACTAGAAATTCATTTAACGAAGCATTCACAGTGCAAGCAACAGTACATGACAGGTTGCAGAAGACAAGTTTATTACAAGTTCTGGAGTAGATTATGTATATGATTTCCCCAAGATTCTTATCCAGGTATTTTACCACGCCTCCATGATAAAACATTAAGTTACAATATTGAAATATATATCTGGTGCGTCTATTCTTCTCGGCTTGCTATCGTCCGTTTGATTCTCAGCCTATTTATGTATTATACTCTTTCTCAAGCTCTCTGGCGATATATATATAATTTATCATGCACTAATCATGACGTACTCGCTCTTCGTCACATGTACGCACCGCGCCCTCGCAGACGATTGTATCGTTCCAGATTCCAGTAGCTTACGTGCACGGCACCTATAGTTGTGTCGCGGTCGGCGTTTCTAAGGGGGCGACGCTTATCATTCGCTTCTGACTGCATCATTCCGATCATTTCGTCTCACTAGCTTAAGTCACGAGTCCTCGGTCATTTTTTACTTTGTGTCTAATGAGCGCTCGTCCAGTCTGGACTCCTGCTGTCTTATACGTATTCTCTCGAGCTCTTCGACTCCGCTTTAATATTACACTATCTGCCCAAAAATTCATCGTTTCTTATGCCTTTCGGTGGTATGCTGCCGTCGTGCTGTTAGAGAAATAATGTCTTTTTTACAACCTTCGCTCGTCTTCCGTGTTTCATATTATGGAAGCAGTATAGTGCCGTCTAGGCACACTAACCTCGTGCAAGAGTGGATTTTAAGCTTCGCCCGTTGTCATCGTGTGTTACAAGTGAGATGCTTGTTGGTAGTACGACTGTTCTCTCTCTCTGTATATGATATTCCTGAATATCTGTTTCTCGTCGTATATAGACGCGACCTGAGCTCTTCCCACTGCGGGCCCTCTGCAGGTCTGTATTCTTTTCCTTTCCGCCATTTGCTGGATCCGGGTAACTTGCTCGCGCGCCTTTCTAGCATAGTCGTTGTGTCGCGGATAGATTGTCACATACCCTATGTAAGTGATCAGTCAGATAGTGTGATGATATTGCACATAGTCATGATTATGCCGGTACTTATCTCTCTCACGTGTGCATGCAGTGTCGCCACGCCGTCCACGTAGATTCGTATGTCTCTGTCCCTCTCGTCGCTGGTTCGGTCGCCTCTGTTCTGTGTACGCGCGCTTAACTCCAGTGGATAAGGTTTTGTAAGCGATCTCGCTCTGTATGTGATCTGCACTGGTCTCCTTCTCTCTGCTAATCTTCCTCAGCTCTATGCTCTCGCCTCTTGTGCCTCCCTCTCTTTTATATGTCGCTAGTCTTATATGAGTTTAGAGCTTCTATCTAATATTCGTTTTTGCCTCTGCCTAGCTATGTTTGTGTCGGGTTTGTAGTCTGCTTTTTTCCGGTTGCTCTCTCTTGTCTCTTCTCCATGTCTGCCGCCGTCCTCTCCTTGAACTTGCTCTGTCGCGCGTCTCCCCTGCCCAGACTCCTGTCTTTCTCTCGCTATATCGACCATTTTCTTTACTATACAGGAGGCGTGAACACGTTCGATCTCACCCGAATGCACACTTCATAAACTGCGCGCGCTCATAGATTTAACTCCGTCTGTCAGATAAAGTCGTAGTTTTGATACTCACTGTTCTCTCCCGCTACTGCGTTGCTGTGTGGTGAGGCGCGCCTCTGGCGTGGTGCTGCACGGCTCCTCGGTATGCCTTTACGCTTCAGTCAGACACTGCTACGACTCCCATAACGCCTTGAATTTTCTCTCAATCGAGGTGAGCGCGAGACGGCGTGGCGCGCGATGATGATGAGATATACGCAGTAGCGCGATGTGAGCCCACTTCGCAAGGGAGTATACGCGTGTATGACGCGCGTGCACGTAACGCAGACTCTGCTTGTATCTGGCTCATGCGCGTGGAGACGATGAGAAGGTGGTGCACAGCAGAGGATACGCTGATAGTCAGTCTGAGCGCGTAGAAGAAGCGAGCGGCGGCTGCGAGCGCGCACGGATAAAGCGCGCGAGGATGGCGATGAGGACGATAGTGTAAGATGAAGAGATGTGACATACATATGAGCCAGGATGGACGAGGTCTCTGCTGAGAACGGCGGAGGTACCCCGCAGCGCGCGCGCGGCGCGTGCTCTGGTGGTGCGCCCGCCGTTGCGCAACACGCGTCAATTTGCTATAGATAGTATACGCAGATTGATGTCGACTGGCGTAACACGCGATGAGTAGTCGCGATGCCGAGCGCAGCGGAGATGCAAGAAAAAACAACGCAATATATTAGCCAAAATAGGGCTGTCACAGCAGAATTAGAGGAATTGTCTGCATGTACGATGGTCATATGCACTATTTTCATCTTATCGGGTGCTCTGCTCTCGACATTTGCCCTCTCTCTCGCTGTTCTTTCTTGATCTCCCGTCATCTCTCTCTCTCTCTCTCTCTCTCTCTTCTTCTCTCTCTCTCTTCTCTTACTCTCGTCTCTCCTCTCTCTCTCTCGTCTCCTCTCTTCTCTCTGCTCTGCGTGGGATCTTCTCCTCTCTCTCTCTCTCCTCGTTCGTCGTCGGCGTACCCGCTTCACCTACTCCGCACGCTCACCTGCAATACGGCTGCTTCCTCCCCCGCCGCTCTCGCCTTTCTCCCTCCCTATCCTCCTGTTCCTCCTCTCTCGTGCAAGCGCTCGTTCCTCCTCCCTGTCCTCCTCTCTTTGCTTCTCTCTTCTCTCTCATTGCTCTGCTCTCTGTGCTCTCTCTCTCTCTCCTCTTGCTCTCGTCTCTCCTTCACTGACGCTCTCAGCCTCGCCTACCTCAACTTCTTCTTCTATCCGCTCATCAGTCCTCCTTCAGCTCGAACTCCTTCCCGCTCTGATATCGCCTTGACAGCCTCCACCAGGCGAGTGCACATACCACTTCCGCTATTTCTGATTACCGCCGGTTACCCGCGGTTCCACCTGTGCGCGACTCTGATAATCGCACTACTCTTATCATGGCGCACGCTCACCGCTATCTGCTAACCAGTACCTCTATGCCTATCACGTCTTTCGCAGTCCCGGACGAACCACATCATCCACATATACTTATCGTCCTCGCGTTGGGTAATTGCGAATTATACACTGCTCGTTCCACCTTATGGCTTACGGGCGATGGTCATCCTTCGACTATCTATCTCCTATGCCTCATGAGTTATAGTATGTAATGCGGCCCTGTACTATCGAATTATCAGCTGATCGTCCCCCGTCTTATATAATATATTATATATATACGCAACTTACATACTAACTTGTTTCTTGCTCATGAATACAACGCACACACCAACACACCGTCATCACCACACACACACCGCTAAGACACACATTCAACACACACGTACACACACACACACCACTACCTGCTTCCGTCCTCCACACATATCCAGCCTCTTGCTGATCTTCCGCCCTCTCTCGCTGATTCTCCTTGACTCAGATGGCCACCACGAGACCGATCTTTTTCTTTTACTCTATAGCAGGCGTTCGTGTTCTGTGCGGCCTACATCGCCTAGTAGGTAGTCGCGTTCGGTGTTCGCGTTCTTCGACCACGCTTACTCGCTACTTCGCTCCCGCGGTGTTCCCTGTCACTCCTATGTCTATATAGTACGGGTAATTGTGATCCCTGCTATGGATCCGTCTCTATATGCCCTGTTCCAGTCCGGCAGGATCACCCTCATTATCGCTACGGTGGCGCTACTCAGTTCGCCTGCGTCTGTTTTCTCGTCGTTTATCAGCTCCGTACCCGATGATCTATCTGTGCAGGCTCGCCGATGTGATGCGTCATCAGCAGTGGCTGCTTCCACACACATATGACTGCTACACACTCCCCCTCATCATCACACAGCTCATACACCGCCCGTGGCGACTGCTCTACCTAGCCCGCGTGACGCTCCCCGCCCTCTCCGCTGCACCGGGCAGGCCGGTGCTCCACGTTATACTCATCACTGTTCATGACTTTTCCACACTCCCTCGAACTAGATCGCGTACCACTGAGTCGGTACGTGCGGTCATGCTCCACCGTGCCCTGGGCTACTGCATGTCCGTGATGCGTTCTGTGGCTAGTCGATGGACGACATGCGGGCTATCTGCGCTCGGCTACTCGCCCTAGCACTGGCACCTGTTACGTTCCAGCTGGCCCCTTCGCACTTCTATCTCTACCTTACTCTCCACTATAACACACACACCACACACACACACCTCGGGCTCGTTCTACGTTCAGTCTCTATCCACACACACACGTGAGCGTCCTCAGCACTCACAGCATAGCACCCCGGAGTCTCCATCTTCTAGGACGCATCCGAGTCCGCTACTGATCACACACGGACAACGCCTCACTATGCGTGGCTATATTATGACTCGCTGCGACCAAGGCGCCGCTTCCGATCTATAACTACGCCGCGTGCTGTGGGACGCATCATGCGCTTCGTATTTCTTCGTGCTTTAGTGCTTATTTATCCTAGTTCGATCATGCCCTATAACGAGCTTCCCTATATCCGTACGTCCTCTTGTTTTGCGTGTACGCGTGGTGTTTTGTATCGTTTTTTACTATATTGTACCAGCGGTCCTGTGACACTGGATTAGCTGTACCCACCCCTGTTCATAGCGTCGCTATCTCTTATGCTAACTTCGCCGCCTTGACATAGCTACCTCCCAGTCCTCGCTCGCAGGTGCACGCGTCTGCTTACGTTCATGCATATAGACGTGCTCTGATCGGTCCTTA